GGGGGATGGATTTGGGATAAGGGTAGAGAAACATGTACTAGTGAGAGCGGCGTCAGGCGATGCCTGGGTATAGTCCGGTGGGAAGTGCGTCACCGGGGACGGCGGCGGCAGACGAATTGTCGATGCCGACTGGGCCATTGGTGGGATAGAGGTTGTCACTGATGGGATGGCCGACAGACTAATCATCGATGCCGGGATGTCGGGACGGGTTCGTGATGATCCTGGGGACAGTGTTCAAGTGGACGGACCGGGAATGGCGGATGCGGAAGCGGCGGGTCAGGGGGCCGTGGACCTGGATGCCTGACATGTGAACTGCCCGACATTTGGACAGTTTGTCTGTTGATGTCCTAACTGTCGGCACGGAAAACAACCACCCTTTGCTTGGAGGTAGGTTCGCTCCTCCGATGTGAGTTTTGTGAGACGGGTTGGGTGGGTGTTTATAGGAGGACGAATGGTGCATTCTCTCTTTTCCATCCCCATAAGGTGGATGGCGAAGAGTTCGTTGGAGGGGAGCGATGTGGTGTCTAATGGATCGGAGACGGTGTCGGGGTCAGGGGCAGAGAACTCATCCGAGGAGGCAGAGAGTGAGGTTTAGTCGGTGACGTTATGAAAGAATCGTGGGCGGGGTGGGGCGAATGTGAGTGCGTCCTTGTACGGGGTGAGGAATTTGTCTAGGTGAATGGCGCGGTTGAAGAGATCGGAGAGGCCCATTGGGGGTCGTGGACGAGGGAGGCGGCGAGGTCCTTGCGGCATCCCCGTTTGAAGCGGGAGATGAATGCGGCATTGTTGACGTAGTCAAGGGGGATGTGTTGCCGCAACGCACGGACGTATTGGACAAAACGGCCGGTCGGGCCGTTTTGTCGAAGGTGACAAAGTTGTTCAAAGTAGTCATCGACCGTCTGATGCGGTCGGAATGTGCAGGTGATGAGGTTGGCCCACTCGAGGAAGGAATGGGGTTCTGCGTTTGCTTGTTGGCGGTTAGCTCGTTCGGTGTACCACCAACGAGCGCCTTCCTGTAACCTGGTGCTGGCAAGAGGGAGCCAGTGTGTGACAACGACGTTGTGGACGGAGAAGGCGTCGTAGAGTTTGCTGAGGAAGACGAAGACGTTCTCATGGGGAAGGCCTGTGAAAGGGGGGATGTCCATTGATCGAAAGGATGGGGGAATGGGGGATGTCCATTAATCGGAAGGATGGGGGAATGTTACCCGTTAAGGGTGTTGTGGTGCGAGGGTGTTGAAATCAAGTTTGGGTGAGGAGGATGGTATCCGGGTGAAATCGGTGGTCGGGTTGGTCCTAAGGAGTGCGGACGGAGAAAGTATTGGAAGAACGGGGAGCAGGGCTTGTGGTGCGGAAGTGATCTGGGTATAGGTGGGGAGGGTGGAAGTGATAGTGGATGAAGTCATGAGAGGTTTTGACTGGGGGGGAATGGTCAACGACTGCGTGACGGCGGGGGTTGTCATCTTGTGTGGTGGCGTGACCGCGGTGGAGGTGGTGGTGGATGAAGGCGCGGGTGTGGATGACGTGTTAGCGGAGAGGGCGGTGGATGTGGAGGCGGAAGATGGGGGAAGGGTGGTGGAACCCGAGGTTAGGGGGGAAGACGTGGTGGTGACGATCTGGATGGCGGGGGTTTGGTTTTCGATGGCGATCACGCAAGCGGAGATGGTGGAGACAGACACTTTGATGTCGGTGATGGACGAGTGGATGGAGGTTACAATGGAGTGTCGTGAGATCGTTGGCGGCACTGGCTGCTGGTGTGTGCTCGCCTGAGAGGTCGCGGGCGATGCTGTCGACGGAGTCAGTGCAGACAGCGGACATATCAATGTTGGATGACTGGGCCATGGTGGGGAAGGAGGCAGTGGTAGAGGCGGATGAGGTGGCAGCGGCGGATGAGGTGGCAGCCGCAGCTGAGGTGGTAGCAGCAGATGAGGTGGAGGTGGCGACAGCAGCGGCAGCGGCGGAGGCTGCGCGTTGAGAGTTCCTGGTGCGTGTCAGGCCCGGGGGGGGAGGGTTCCTATTTACAAGGGTAGAGCAACATCAATTGATGAAGATAATTTCTAAATAAGATTTGCAAAACAAGAATTATTTTTGAATAAATTAATTCGGAATTAAATTCATTCAAAATTAATTCGAGTGTATTTTTCAAGAAAACTTGAAAAAGGTTTTGAGAGAGAAAACGGATTTTTCAGGAATTTTCAAATGAAGAAAAAGAAAAATAATACCGAGAATAAAAATAAATTCTGACCTAGGCTACCAGAGTGGCCCGGGGTCACTTGCCCGGCCGGTCCAAAAATATATATATCGTCACAAACAGAACTGCCCGGTAAAACCGTAGGCAGAGAGAGAGAAGAGGATAACAAACGAGGGGCTGTGACAAACTGTTTAGTCGGAGTTTCACCAACTCATCAGGAGGCTGATATATATATATCGTTACAAACAGAACTGCCCGGTAAACTGTAGGCAGAGAGGGAGAAGAGGACAACAAACGAGAAAAAAAAAAAAAAATCAAAAAATCCAGAAAAAACTATGTTATGCAGAAAAATAAACTAAACTTTTGCCTCAGGGTCACATCGAAATTCGGCACCAAATTTATATATATATATCGTCACAAATATATATATCGTCACAAACAGAACTACCCGGTAAAATCGTAGGGAGAGAGAGAGAAGAGGACAACAAACGAGGGGCTGTGACAAACTGTTTCGTCGGAGTTTCACCGACTCATCATAGGCTGAACCCTCAACAGTCTGCAGAATCCCCTCACTGATTACACTGTAAATGATAATCTACCTTAACCAAAATCAAAGTAGACTATCACTCA